GGTGCGTTGTTTGCGCGCCGGGGATGTGGATGGAAGAAGAGGAGGGGTGGCCAAGCGATGACTTCGTCGAGAGGAATGAAGGAACTCACTTCTGAGCTGGCCTCAATTGGAGCTTCTCGGCTCCTTGGTTGGGGTCCGAAACACGGTGAACACGTTTGGCTGGATACACTTGCTGACATGGCAAGCAGCCGAGCTCAGTGGCGTTCGTGCTTTGAGTTTCTTTGTCCCACCCCATCCCTCTTAGCCTCCCCCTCCAACCACGATCTCATTATTTAGCTTTATATAATTTCGCATAGTAGTTTTTTGATGCGCAGTAGCCGGCTGGTAGCTTACCGGAACGATGCCCATCCGTTACCGGTAGCTCAGCCGGCTTGCACCAGTTGCATTTTTTCTCCTTTTTTCTATGTATTGCGGCACAGTAGCTGAGGTGTTCCCCACCTCTAGCTAACGTGTATGATGATGATGATGATGATGATGATGACGATGATGATGATGATGGATAGCGGTGCCAAATAAATTGAACAGGCAATTCTTATAGCAGTTTCATACCGGACATCTAGTTAACAACCGTATGAAACCCTTAGCATACAGTTTTTATTGGGCCGGAATAGATTCAGAAATCGAACAAATCTGTCGAAAATATGAATCCTGTCAACTGTCGGTCAAAGCCCTTCCCAAGTGCCCTTGGCAACTTTGGCCCAAAGCAGAGAAGCCATGGCAACGAATCCACTACGATTAAGCAGGATCAATCGCCGGTCAATCCTATCTTTTTGGTGGGCTCTTTCTCCAAGTTGTCCGATGTGATCCCTATGCAAAGTACGACTGCCAAGTACACGATCAACGAGCTGGATAAGCAGTTTCAGAATTTTGTAATGCCAGAGATGATAGGGACAGACAACGGCACACAATTCACTTCAACTTCATTTTGCGAGTGGTGCAAACCTAAAGGAATTCAGCAGATGTTCTCATCACCCTAGCATCCGTAATCTAACAGACAGGCGGAACGGTTTGTGGATACTTTCGAACGTCCTCTTTGTAAAGCGGGACAAAACAGTGTCGCAAATGCCGCGATGCAGTGTTTCCTGTGCATGTATTTGAATGCTCCAAACCCGAACGCCCCAGATAGAAGAGCCACAACCGAAACATTCTTTGGGTGAAAGATCCAGACATTATTCGATAACCTTGGGCCAAGCAGAAAATAAAAGCATTATAAAACACAGGGTAGCGAAGAGTACTCTTTTCGATAAATCTCATCAGGCGTTTACAATTATAAAATAGAAAGTTGAAGCGGGATAGGCTGGTGAAGCGCCCTACCCTGTGTTTTATTAATTCCATGGGTATAATATTCGAGTTGAAAAAGCATTATAGTTGTCCAGCAGAGAAAAATCTGACAGACAGGCTTCGTCATTTCAAAATTGGTGACATGGTGTTCGCGCGCGACTTCCGAGGACCGAGGAGGTGGTCAACGGGAAGTGTGATCCGCAGAAAGAGCCGAGTCATTTACGAGATAATGGTCGAAAATGAGAAATGGGTCAGACAAGCCAATCAGCTGATACTGAATCACGGAAGGACTCAAAGTTTCACGGAACCACCATCCTTACCGTGCGACATTCCGTTAGCCCGATTGGGTTTGGAGGAGGAAGTTGGGCAGCTACGTGGATCAAAACAGAACCTGCAAGCATCAGCTGATACAAAATGCAGGCCGACTTGAAAGCGGGGACGACCACAATAACTAAAAGTTGCTCCCGAAGTGAAAACCAATGAGCAAAGTCGGGTTCGAACAGTACGCTGGCATACTCAATTCGAAATGGGAGGTAATAGAGACGTAGGCGGAGCACGTAGGCTGTCTGCTACATGTAAAGTCACCAGCACGCGCTTGGTAGGAACTCTGACCTTTCCATCGAATTTGGGAATTGAGCGCGAATTGATCGGCCAGCAAATACTAGTCCGCGTCGAAGGAATCGAACTATTCCTTCGAGATGGTAAACCCGTGGAGCGGAATTCACTCACACTGGCTGCAAACCAGACGCAGAAGAGTGAGTGAGCTTGCCCTCCGAAATGAGCAAGTTTCGTTTACCAATAAATAGAGTTGATCTATCCTGTAGCTACTCTCTCTGTCTTTCGAGTTCTGGCCATTTGGATTCCTTCGGTTGGCTGGGCGCGTGACTGAGCAGTTGGACAGTCGCAGTCTCACGGGGCAACAAAGCAGGAGTACAACAGGCGGGTACAGGTGTATGACCACCTAACGGAATGGTACCCCTCCACTAGCGGTGTAACCCAAGGCACAGTGTTGAGGCCAATTTTATTCCTGATCCACAAAAACGAAGTGCCTCAGTTTCTGCGATCGCCTTGTGCGCTGTTTACAGGCGACTTGAAGATTTATTGGGTTAATGATTCTCCCGAAGATTGTGATGTCCTTCAGCAGGACCTCGACCTCCTATCCAGGTTGTCTGCAGAAGTTGACTTACCGGTCAACCCGGCCCAGTCCTCCCATATGAGCCTGGGGCGGTGTAACAATGGGCATTCATACACCCTAACCGGCAACCCGCTGCATCCCACAAGTTCCGTAAAGGATCTGAATGCACCCTCACGTTGTGTTCTGAAGCTTGTAGACAACATGAAAAGACTTTACGTAAACGGACTTCGCTTGCTCTGAGCACTTAGACGCAGCTGCTGCACTTAGTCTGGAGAGATTGCCAACCGTCTGTTCTCTTCCATTATAAGACCGGTGCTTGAGTACGGCTTATTCACTTTTTGTCCGATCACGATAATTGAGTTGCAAAGACTGGAACGGGTCCAGCATGTAGCTACCCGGCTCATCCCCAGTTTACGGGGTGTGTCTTACGAGGACCAATGTAGGAGACTAGGGCTGTATACCTTGTCTTATCATCGCCTTCGAGTTGGTCTTATACTGACGCACCGCATATTGCACCTGGGCCACTTCCCCATGTTAAAGCCGCTGCTGCAGGTGAGCGCACTAAGCAGCACATGCGGACACCGGTACAAACTAGTGATACCGGATTTAAAGCGCATGGTTTACCCTCTATGCTTTGGGCATCGAGTGGTAAAATAGTGGAACACGTTGCCGAGACCCTAGTCGAGGCGAAATCGGTGTCGGAATGAAAGAATTTCCTCGATGCCCACTTTGTAGACTACAGACATAGGGAGCGCATCGCACCCGGATAAGATGTAGTGCAGCTGTAATATGCTGCCGCCGCACAGGAATCAGCGACGTGATTCTGTGCATGTGCTCGATTCACCAACGATGGAGTAACGCAGAATTTCGTCTTCTCGCTCTCATTTCTCAGTATTTAGTTTCCTTTGGATTGATAAGCCACAGGCTTTTGGAATAGCAGTTAATTATTGGCAGTGAGTGACCAACTCATACTCATGAGTTCAACTATCAAATAACTAAGCTTTCCAATTCCAAAGTTGACCTTGAGCTACTCATATATCTGAAACGTTTACGAAGTTAAAAGAACTCTTTTTACATCTCAGACTTAAAGTGCTTTCGGTACCTCGTGATCCGAGTGTAAATTTGTGAATAAGTACAGTATCTCGGTGGCTTTGATGTCTCCCTCTACTTATTCCTGAGCTTAGTAAAAGAGACTAAACGTAGATTGTGCGGTCATTAACACATCCTATGGATGCAGTGGATTGTCTAAAAGGGCTCTTGGTGATTTTATTGTCAGTAAATATGTAGACATTTGTGTCTCTGCGGTTTGGAAAGCTATGAAAATTTGTGTTTCTACCGCATTTGCCGAATTCACAGTCTTATTTTCCCGTATTGCATATGTGCACAATTCTACTCCATCGTGCCTGTTACGAATGGTTCTTGACAGTGGGAAGTTGCTCAGTAGAATACAAACTGTTTGTTCGAGTGATATGCATAATCATCATCAGCAATATGCACTTCAGCTAGAGGTGGAAAGCACCTCAGCTACTGTGCCGCAATACATAAAGGAAAAGGAAATTAAATACAACAGTTGAATGCCAGCTGAGCTATCAGCAACGGATGGGCATCGTTCCGGTAAGCTACCAGCCAGCTACTAGGCAAAAAGAAACACTATTATGTTTTAGGCTACGAAATGAGATCTTAGGTGGAGGGGGAGGCTAAGAGGGATGGGGTGGGACAAAGAAACTCAAAGCACGAACGCCACTGAGCTCGGCTGCTTGCCATGTCAGCAAGTGTATCCAGCCAAACGTGTTCACCGTGTTTCGGACCCCAACCAAGGAGCCGAGAAGCTCCAATTGAGGCCAGCTCAGAAGTGAGTTCCTTCATTCCTCTCGACGAAGTCATCGCTTGGCCACCCCTCCTCTTCTTCCATCCACATCCCCGGCGCGCAAACAACGCACGTCGCGGGAGTCGGTGGGCTGGCATGCGTAACACGTGGCCGAGCCATCGGAGCCTGGTTCGTGAAATGACGGTGCTGAGCGGTTCATTTCCTTTTTCTGTGCCGTAAACAAGGCGTCGAACACGCTCGTTACTCACGCGGTGTTCCCCCCAGATGTGAGCGAAACTGCGAAGGCCCCGATGGTCGAAGGTAACTAGCCTCTTCATGTCCGCGGATCTTAGGGGCCAAGTTTCGCAACCGTACAGTTAGGTCGAACGTACCGCATTTGCATACACAGTTTCGTTTACATACTTATACATACATACATACATATACATACTTATACATTTATTTCACGCGTTTCTCTATTCGTAATAATAGCTTAAAATTCTGAAGAGTTATTTGGGTGTACCATGCCTATTCTAACGCCTTGGCGACTTCAGTCGATTTGATTTGAATTTCCGGCTCCTGCTCACTTTTCGTGTGCAGGCGATCTCTGGCATGTTTTAACAGCTGCATTCCCACCATTAATGCTCGAATGTACTCTAATTATAAGAACCCAGTCTGTGAAATTTTTCGGCTCAAGCATAGAGGTCTCTTATCCCTGGGCTATCATTACCACCGTGGCGACCTCGTTTTGACTAGGCGCCCGCTTAAGGAACCGGGAGATCCTCGCAGTATCCTCAGCCCATGCGCGACTAGTGGTGGCTGCGCGACAGCGTAGCGTCGGTACTGCGTACGGGCATACTGTTGATGTCTTTCTTTCTTCACCAGATACATTAGAATTAGTAAACTTGGGAACACGTTACAGTCATTTCCTTTACTCAGCATGGGAGACTCGACGCGGAGTCGCAAGTGGGTGCAATCCCAACTAAGGTGACTCTAAATCCGCTCCGTTGTAGTTCTGTCCACGCGAGTAGCAAACGACTGGGACAGCATTCTGGACACCGTTACCAGTGCACAGACCGAGAAAAACCTGAAACGGCTGATGGACTCTTATCTGTGTAGGATTGCCAGGGTCATACCATTTTACTTCCATTGGTCCGGTACCCTGAGCTTGAAATCGAGATACATGATCCTTGCACTAAGCCGAAGTATACAGGACAGATATGGGATCTCCCTGTAACCCATTAAAGATCATTGGATTCAATGAACATCGATGATCAATTCAGGTGTCTTGCACAGATTGAGGGCCACAGCACACATGGAAATTGTCACAAAGCTAAATTATTACCCAAATTGATGACCCACCGATGGCTTATGAAAACATTGCCGCATCAATAGGTTGGACAAATGAGATCTAGCTCTGGTTTTCTCCTAGTCTATACTGCTATATTCTTCGTGTTACTCAGACTGAGGGCCCGTTGGTGACTTATGCAAAAGTGGGCACATGGATGAGTTGGATATATGGGATTTATCTTCGCTTTTTTCTTCAGCTAAATAGCTTATCAGTGTGCTCTTACTTAGTTTCAAGACCCAACGATGGTATTTGAAAAACATGCGAACATTGGTGGGCTGGACAAGCAAGCTATTTCATTAACCTTTCTATTAAACAGCTAGGTGAAAGGCATGAGTGCCTGCAAGACATGAAACTACTCAAGAGGTGAACTATTAATGTCCCGCAAGTAACCCACCCAATTTATGTACGCAAGTCTATTTGCTCTGTGTTGTCATGTCTTGTGTGAGGGACGTCGTTACTTGATATACATTCCATGATGGAAGCACTTCTCAGTTTAATCGTTTGCTGTGTTAATATGTCCGCTCACACACTTTCACCATCTAAATAGTTTTGTTATATGCCAAAGTTATGAAATTTTGACTACATTTTCTACGAGCACAGTGTCACTCACCTCCTAAGACGTTGTTATTTTGCTTTCTTTTCCCAAGCATCTGCCTAAGTGTGTCTAAACAACAATTTGCAATTGTCGTGCATTCCGACGAATTTTGAAACGAAATCAATGCCGCAAGTATCAATGGAATTGGAATCACAAGTGTTCTCCAAAAGCAGTTTGTAAAATCATTATGCAATTCCTCTATAACTTATGATCGGATCAGCTTAGCTGGACCGTGTCTCACCTATTTTATACTATACTAACCTTAATACTGCGTCCAGAATCTTTCTGAATTAGGACACGGTGTATTTTGTGCTGTTACCAATCAGCCCCTACTTGATTTCTTTTAGAGAAGCAGCGTACCAGAGTTTACAGATAAGGGGATTCCATTAAATTGAAATGAAAGTGGATAACCCTCCTTTGGCCGGCTCATAATGGTGGATAAACTGTACAGTCCTATTACCAGAGGATGTGTTCCGCGACGTGCCAAGTGAGTTATATGAGACAGATGAAAAAGAAAAATAATGTAGAATGTGACGCATCTAAGTTTTTCGGCTAAACCGAGCAGGCAGCGCCGATAATTTTACTGAGCACAAAGTAGTTTTGAAGCAAATAGTTCCCTTTATTAACTTGTTTAGAACGAAAAAAAGATGCACGTTGCAACATGGTACCGTTTCGTGCCCTCTGTGCACTTACAAAGAAGCGACATATCAAGTGATAAAGTGACGACAAAGCAATAAGTTTTAATCTGTAGGCCACATGAAAGGTAATGTAGAAGTTGAGGAGTTATCACGAGCTTCAAGGGAGTTTCGTTTCAGAAGTATAGTACCACCATCATCAAAGTGAAATTCACTTACTGTGCACATGTTGACTTACTTTGTACAAGTGATTTGATATAATTTGTACGTCACTGACGGCCAGCTTGATACGATTGGTAGCCTCGGTGTCTCCAAATGGTATTCTTGCTTCGAATGTGAGCAGTTGAAATAGTTTCGTGATTCTTTCGGCCCACTAATAAAAGGAATGGAGAGAGGCTTGAGCATGCCTATGGTTCTGTTGGATACCGATACGAAACTCTGTCTTATGTCACATTGCTAATTTTTTCATTTTCGATTACCTTGAAACATAAACATTCTTAGCCAAACAAACGTTTCTTCTCAGTTTTAATCGAACGACCTAGCTGTGTGGTTGTGTTGGGACACGGTCTAAATGGAAAATACACTCATTAGTTGGAATGTGTGCAACAAAATTGATTGTTGAGGAAGAACTGTCTCAAACGAAGTTCTTCCCCTCGAATTGCCTACTTGAAGGCTAATCTAAAGAAATGGATGCATTTGCCAGATTTAAGGGTCTTAAGCGAAGAGCACATTCACCAGTGGTCTTGCAGCCAAGTAAGATCTGTGGTGAAGTAATCCAGTAACTCGAGCAGTCGATCCACCTCGGCTAGCATAAGGTATTTGCTGAGCACTGGCCCACAAGCCAAAGCAGATGAGCCATTTTCCGTCCTGATGCATTATCATAAGCTCCATATCCTCAGGCTGTTGGAACCCATCGGCTGTGATGGAGAACAGCCCTCGCTGGAGATTCAGGAACGGCGGACTCTGCGTCGGCGTCTACCGTAGTGGCATAAAGCTCAATGATTGGCTACTGGTTTACTACAAATCGATCATCTCTGTCTTTGGTCCTGTAGTCGCTATCGTTAGTTGCGCATGTGATTGATAAGCATGCAGAAAAATACTGAGACAATTCCCAACTTGTTGTGAATTATGAAGAGAATTTAATGTTTTGAAAATGTAATGGACAGAATGTGAGTGAAGCAACCTGGGCTTACTAGATTTTGGAAATGGAAATCTTCTTTCTATGGTGTTTTAGATAAAATAAAACTACTTTGTGAATGGGCTATCAATTCAGTTACAGACTTGTCCAACAAAACTGAATGGGAATGCATTCAAGATTTCGTCATTAACTTTCAACGGTTCAAACAAAACCTTCTTATACATAGTAAGTTCACACGGAGTTTGAAGATTTCTTTTAGTTTCCAGAGCAATTGTTGTGCTTATCTAACTGGATATGATCATACAAGAATTCAGTAAGCTTTTGCTACCTGAAAGCGAGTGTAAAATTATTTACAATGTGAAAGGCGTAGCAGCGCTACGGTGTCTACCAATATTCACGGCGACTGTTTATAATACTCCGCATTTTTGTAACAGTTTGGTGAAATAGCGATATAATCCTGAGCGAGTCCTATCGTCTGGATATTTTGAAATAGTGAGACATAGCAAATGTTGGGAACGTGAAGCCTAATTTATATCCCCCCATAAGACCACATTTGGGGATGAATATTTTATCAGTTCTTGCCTCCAATCTCATTCGCATACAAATATTTCCTCTTGGTTTTATCCAAAGCTCATAGGTCTTCAAAAATATAATTTAAATGACATTTATTTTACAGTCTGTGGATCTGCAAGGTTCTTGCCATTTTAAATTGCCCTACACTGTCTCTGAATCATAGTGTTTGGTTCCGCACACAGACAGTCCCTTAACACTCAGCATTTTGCCTACATCATTTTATGCAGATTTAGGCTGACCAGTTTTCAAGAACATTGGCTATTCAATGGCGTGCTGTGTTTTTAGTCACTTAGTTTTCTACAGCATTCCACAAACTAAGTTCGCCGAGGGACTGGTGCAACAACAGTACTGTTTGTAGCGGGCACAAAACACTAATTTATTACATTCAGTAAGTATAGCCCAGAGGATTGCATTAGTTTATATCACTGTCACGAATATCGCAGTTTGAATTTGAATTAGGTAGTTATGCATTGATTACCTTGTTAGACAGTTTATTCAGACCAAACAAATGTCCGGTGTTTATACGACAACGACTTAAAACTCAAAATAGAGCGGTATTCTTCAGCTAAACAGTGAATTGGTAAGGTTTTTCGATAACTATGCTATGGTATAGATACCTTGTGGTGTCCCTATTAAGTAGCCGCAGCGGATGAACGCCGTGACACCGTTTAGAGACACGAGTTGGGCATACAGTAGATCGCGCGGAAAGCTGACTGATGCAGTTACATCATCCACAACAAGGGCTGCTGTGCGATCCAGCGCATCTGACGGAGCCAGTTTCTCATCATGGCGCAGATTGCTATGGCGCAGGCTACAGATAGACAGTGGAGACCGCTAGTATGTTTGAAGCTGTCTATAGACAAGTGACTTCAATCTGCCCAGCAAAGCACAGTCGGAGGTGAGCGTATGTGGCCTACAGAGTTAACCATGCTGTCTCTAACGCACACCGGTCTAGCTGGCCTCGTCTTCTGTATTTTCCCTGACTGGGTTGTCGGCACCCTAGACAGAGAGCAGAAGGCAGGGCAGCGTTATAAGTCACCCTGCCACTAAACATTAATTTGTAAAATTTGAACATGGAATCATGGCCTCTATGTTTGGCAGTTCGTTCCATCAGTCTGACTACATATCCGCGTAACCATGAAGAGACCAAGTTGAGCGTATTGACGTCAGTCCTTTTTGCAGTTATTGCTTCCTGTGACAAGCTCCACTTCCTTCTGGTGATGCCTGCTCCAATTGTCATCGTATGGTGACCATCTTTACACTCGGTCAAGGGACCCCAAAGGAAATTCGCTTTTGGATTCCTAAATCTGGTTTCAAAATACAGCCCAATGAACATACCTAAATACCTGCCATGTGATTAGTCGCACAATTTTGAATGCATGCTAGGCAAACCTTTGAAATCAGACAGACCATCCTGATCTCAAACACGAGTGCCGCCCGGATTGTGGGATTGCGAGATTCTCATTAACCGTTCTCAGTCAACTATCAATCTAACTGTCGACAATATTCTTATCCATCCAAACAGGATTGGGTTGTGACTTCAGAAATCTTGAGGGCCGGCCCGTAACCTAAAGAATCACAAGCCTGCCTAGTAATCCAAGGGTGCGACTTCGAACCTACGTAGGGGACCGGACGACACTCGCAGTGTTCTTAGCCCACGCACGACTGATGGTGGTTGCTTGGGAGTAAAGCGTCGGTACTGCGTACTGGCGTACTGCTGCTACCGTTACATAATTATATCGTAATAACAATTGAATGGGAGCCCATTTTCACCGGTTATTTTTATGGTCACAGCTGTTGCGAATCCGACTTCAATGACGTCATTCACTGCGTCGTTAGACTTTCCTGATTGTAAGCCACAAGTAACCAAGGGACTGATCAATCCATACGGTTAGCATGTCGTTTAACAATGGTAAAGGGGACCAGTCTATAATGTAGCCTGCTTCTATAAAAATGCCTAGCCTTCAGCTTACCGGTTTGCGATGGTAGTGACGTGATCGCAGTGAGTACGTGGAAGGAGTCTAACAACCGCAATGGTTGAGTCACCACAGTTTTGGTTTAAAAATGACCAGCTGAAGCTAGCGGTCGGTTCCATATGGACGCACTGCAAATGTCAGCCACTCAGGATCAAACGACGGCGAACGTTGGACAACCAGCAAAGGCGCGTGGTCTTACGATACAGCATGGTGCCAAGTTCATTCTTTCGGTCCGCCCGTTCATTCCCATTAGGCAATAACCCCCTTAAAATTCATCATAATCTGTCCCGTTTTGGCATCAATTAAGCATTGGAAAATATTTGATAGTTTAGCTAGTCTTTTGGGATTATGCTTGCAATGCACATTCAACCAATGCTCTACATAGAGTAAACTACAACTACTGTCCTTGGTTGAAGTCGTAATTGGACCATCCTTTACCGCCCGTAGCTTTAAGGAGCACAAGTCTGTCTTGTAAACTGTGAGTGCGGGTTAGGGCCTGCGTAGGGACCGAACGACCCTCGCAGTATCATCAGCCCATGCACCACTAGTAATGGTTTCGCGGAAGCGAAGCATTGCTACTGCGTATCGGCGTATTGCACATGCCCCCTGCACTACCCGAGAGGTAACGCAAGAGTTATCGAATAGATCAAAGCACTGAGGGAATGAAGTTGCTCGATAGTATCGCAACATTATGCTGGGTTGTCTAAACGCCTGTTTCGGCCTTATAGAGCCACCTATCAGTGTGTTGTTCGAATCGTATTGAGCTGACCAGGCGAGTCGATCTGATCAACGTTTTAAACTTAGGTTATGCTGTGTTTGGTAGCTGTACCGTTACTACGCAACTCTGTCCGGGGTCTGAAGAATTGGAAATTTTGCGAAGTACAGTTAATTGTTGCCAGAAATGGCATTACAGGGAAGGTGCAACACATATAAAACGCTATTGTTGGATACATCAGACTGAATATGAGATTGAATGCCTCCATTATGGTTTTTGAATTTATAGGGTGCGGTACAGCGACATGAAAATGATGTGCTTAGGGCTAATATATATGACGTCTGGTTGAGACTACCGCTACTGTCAGTATACCGATCCAAAGATGCGGGATTTCAACGCAAAGGCTATTCTGTTGACAACTCCGTAACTGAACTAAGCTGTGCCAACTGACACCTCGGATTTTTGGACTACCATGTTCTGGATTCTATTTTGTCTCTGGGTTACTGTCTTATATAGGTCTTCCATGTGAATTGTGCACCAACGCTTTTCTTCTGGTGTATTTTACAGTGTGTGCTAATTTGGTGGATATTCTCTGACCACTTTCGGAGATTTCAGTGTTTGGCTCAACTGCTGTCTGGGTCCGCCGTCTTGGATTTATGTGTGGCTTTGTCAACTAGTGCAAATGCATACACCCAGGACCGACGCGCAACCAAAGCAACTTCATCGACTGCTCACTTGAACTTTGCAACTTCAACGTTCGTTTGACCGTTGCATACTGCCACGAAAGTTAGAAAAGTAATCAGTCATCCCGCTGGCCCAAGTAAAGACACCAGGCTGGATGGCAAACATCGAGTAAGTGCACATCAATAGGGTTGAAAGCTAAAGGTGTGTGTGGGTCTGGAGAATGTAATCAATTAGTCAAACTAGGCTTAGCTTTCTAGCATTCTTCAAAATGATACCATCCAATGTGT